GGATGTGGGAGGGTGTCTGGCCCTGTGATTCTCATGGGCGGCCTTCGGGTCTCCCCCTGGCACAGAGTAGGGGAGGGGCTGGCTTCTGGGCTTGGAAGCACTCTTCAGACATGCTTCCCGGTATCGGCTGTGCTCTTACCTGTCCCCACCCAGCACCCGGGCTCCTCTGCAGGGCTCCCAGGTGTGGTGGTGGTGATGGGTGGCTAGGGATCTGCCAGGGCCTGGAGATGGTATATAGGATGTGTTGGGAGGGACACACAGCTGCCATCCCCACCCTGACCTTGCCTTGCTCAGATGCCTACCCTATGGGTGGCAGCATACGGTGCACGGCCACCCCTGTGGCTGCGGGCCCAGCTGGGCAGCATGGGCTGCCAGAGAGGAGGGTCTAGGCACAGGGCCAGGGGTGAGTGAGGTCACAGCTGTCTTTCTGGGGGATTCTTGGGCTGGACTTCAAGATCAGAGCGCCCATCAGTCAGCCTCCTGAGTGTCTGCCCAGATGTTTGGGTGGCATCAGGACATGGCCGGTGCTGCTCAGAGATAAGGAGCCTGCCCCAGGCCTGGAGTGAGACAGTCTTTTAACAAAAGGAGTGACGCACAGTGTGAAGTCCAGGCGCTTGCTCCAAGTGGTGGGGGCCGTGGTGTGGGGGAAGCAGGGGACACGGCGGGCAAGCCCCTCCTGGTTCCCACCGTTCTCTCTGTGGCGGCCCCCATTTGTGCTCAGAATCTGTCTCCCCACCCACGAGCCCCACAAGGGCAGGATCACATCTGTCGTCGTCGGGTCCCTGCTCCTTGCCCAGCGTCTGGCACATGGGAATTCAGGAAATGCTTGTTGCCTGGTGGGTGGGGGAGCAGGATGGCTGTCGCAGGGCCTCCAGGGGGCGTGGGGAGAAGGCTGGCATGGCAGGCGGGGCTGGCCTCCACGGAAAACATGCCCCCGGAGGAGCTGGGTGTCTGTTACCATGAGCGCTCAGTGCTTCAGTGCCCGCCTCACTGGCCCTTAAAGCCGGACCCACTGCATGTTCCGCCCTCCCACTGGCGAGGCCCTGAGGTCACGCAGGAAGTAGGGAGGGTGCCCTGGTTGTCCCCCGTCCCTGAGGAGGCTGTTGAAGTCTGCCACAAGGCCAGGAGGTGTCCCTGACGGGTGGCCTCTGCCTTTCAGATCATCACGGCTCTGGAGGAAGATGGCACCGCCCAGAAGATGCAGCTGGGCTACCGGCTGCAACAGATCGCAGCGGCCGTGGAAAACAAGGTCACCGACCTGTAGGCCCGCGAGCCCTGCGTCGCCTCGGCGCCACCTGGCAGCCCTGGGGCCTCGGGGAGACCGCCTTCGTAGATGCCTGTAGTGCCTGACCAGCAGAGTTAGTGAAGGTGGCCCTGTCTCCTGGTGGCTCTGGCTGGGCCCTGCTGGACTCGCCTCGCAGGCCTGCGGCTGTGAGGCTGATGGGGTGGCTCCCGCCTGCTCCCCGAGCCCAGTGACCCTGTGGGCTGCTTTCTGTGATGTCAGTCTGCAGGGAGTCGGTACGAAGGGCTTCCAGAAAGTGGCTGGAAGGGCCTCCAGCTGCGGGGGAGGCTGCACTGTTTCTGAACACCGGCCTTTATCTCTCGGGACTCCAAGAGGAAGGAGAAGGGCCCCAGCTGTCCTGTCCTCCCCTCCACCCGCCCCGACCTCAGTTTAGCCGCCTCCGGCCTTTGCTGCTGCCACGATCCTAGGTCCGAGAGACGAACACCTTTTCTAGGTCACTGTGAACTGACCCCTCAGAAGGGTTGACTGCCTTAGGGCCTCCCTGGCTCCGAGGCAGCCAGTGGTGATGGGCATCTGCTGCAGGGGGGCCGTGGGGAGAGTGGTGGCCACACTGACCAGCTCTTCATTAAAAGATAACACACTGCGTGGCGTCTGATGTGTGGGCTCCACCCAGCCCCTCGGTTAGAAGGGGGGTGCCAGCTGTGTCTGGCAGGCACCCAGGGTGGTGGGAGAGGTAGTGGGACTGGCACCCTGGGGGAGGTCTCATGGCCCCGAGTAATGCTGCAGATTGCTGGGCTGGCTGGGCTCTCCCCGGCTCTGGGGCAGAGCTGGCTGGAGTCAGAGATGCCCTGAAGGAAATGAGAGCCTCATCCAGGACGGGACTGGGGAGGTCTGCGACTGAGGTGGCGGGGTCTGCAGTGTCCGGGGGGTGCCTTATCTGCAGTTGGAGTGTTCTGACTCCTCCACTCGTGTGCCATTTGTCTGGAAAGGGACTGGGAAAGGATGGCATCATTGCAGTCAGCACAGGCAGAGTGGTTCACTGGGTCCTTTCCCACGGTCCTGTTCCTGAGGTCCGCCCCACCCCCAGCCTGGGATGTTCTAAGGGGCTCCTGGATTCTGGGTTGTCTTCTAAGTCAAGGCACCTTGGGTGGGGGCTCCTAACCCAAATGTCTGCCTGCATGAAGGACACCTTGTATGGTTTTCCTGATCTGTAGCTGGAGGTGAGCTTCGAGGCTGTCTTCCTGGGTCTCATGTTGCTGGCTGGGTCTATAGGGCTGGGGATTGATGTCCCTCGACTGAGACCACCCAGGCCAGCCTGGGGCCCTCAGGGTCTTCACAAGGCTCTCCCCCGTGGCTCTGCCTACTCCCATAGCCCAGACCCCAAACTGCCGGTTAGCTGATCGATAATGCGTCATGGATCTTCCTTTTAAAGTGTTCCGTCTTAATTAAGGATGATGGTTTTTATCCAATTCCATTTACCAGAGATTGTGGTGTTTGAAAGAAATTTCTTTCTTTTTTAAAATATATTTTTATTGATTTCAGAGAGAGGAAAGGAGAGATCGAAACATCAATGATGAGTCATTGATCGGCTGCCTCCTGCACGCCCCCTACTGGGGATGGAGCCCGCAACCTGGGTGTGTCCTGACCAGAATCCAACTGCAATCTCCTGGATCCTAGGTCGATGCTCAACCACTGAGCCATGCCAGCCAGGCAGGAATTTATTTCTTGACTGTAATTTTGGGGTTTTATTTATAAGCCTTTTGATTACCTGGCTGATAAGAGTACTTGAAACAGAATGACCCGTGGGCTGTCCCCATGGCCAAGGAAACTGCAAGTCTAAGACCGAAGGTTGAGTTGGGTAGCAGTGCACTGCCATCTTCTGGCCACTGTGAAGAATTTGTTTGAAAATAGAAACAATGAGGAAAGATCTAAACTCAGTCATGCTAGGGCTTAGTGGGTAATTTTTTTTTTTTTTTGATAATTTTTAAATTTTATTTTTGTTTAAAATATTACAGATGTCCCTTTTTCTCCCCAATGACCCATTCCACCCCGTCCCATCCCCCTCCCCAGTCCCTCTTCCCCACCATTGTCCATGTCCTTGGGTTGTGCATATATGCATATAAATTCTTTGGTTACTCTCTCCCCCTCCATCCCTCTGACATTCGTCAGTCTGATCTATGCTTCCATGTCATTGAATCGATTCTGTTCATCAGTTTATTAAGTTCTTTAGATTCCACATAGAAGCGAGATCATGTGATGTTTGTCTTTCTCTGCCTGGCTTATTTCACTTAGCATGGTATTCTCCAGGCCCATCCATACTGTTTAGTGGGTAATCTTGTCTCTGGTTTTAGATATGAGATGTGTGTAAAGAAATGGTTGAGGGAGTATAACAGTGAGTGACTAGTCAGAAAAACTAACCACTGTGGGTATTTCAAACAGAAGATTGATTATAAAAGTGTTGGAGGGGCCCCCAGAAGGGCAAAAGGGGGGGTAAAGTTACCCAGAGATTAGTGACCACAGAAGCCTCAAGCGGGCATGGGGACAGTCATGTAACCTGCAGCCTCTGGCCTCTGGCTGGCGCCTGCGAGAAGCTCACGGATGCAGCAGGGCATCCCTACCAGACACACTCCAGAAACAGTGAATAGGAGCCACCGGGAAGAAAGGCTTCATGGCTCTTTATCTGAACCTTTACCACTCCTGACCTGTCTATCTCCTCCAAGATCTCAGGCTGGGAGCCAGCTCTGGGAGGCAGGAGGCCTGGATTCCAGTTTCAGTTCCTGCCCCCGTGACTGGCTGGGCCTCTGGGGAGCAGGGCAGGGACGTTCTGGCATGTGCCAGGAGCCACCCTATACTATGGGGTTGGATCTCAAGTTGCCACCTGACAGGAGAATGGCAAACACCAGAAAAGAGGGAAGGGAAAGGAGTTAAAGGAGAGGAGAACTGACAGCTGCAGGCATCAGGGAGCCAACCGGCTCCCACCAGTGGGAGCTGGAGCTGCAGGAGAGGCTGCCCCTGCCCCTCGGTATAGAGGATGCCAGGGGAATAATCACCCTGCCTCATGCTCCCCCTACCTTCCAGTCTCCTGTGGCTCCCCCTGTTGGACAAGCCCCCTGAAAGCCAGAGGGCAGGGGTGGCTGATGGGCACAGACCTGGAGGTCAGCTCCTGACTGCAGAGCAGGTGGGAAAGCAGCCAGGAGGGGCCTGGTGGGTGTACAGCGGTGCTTTGTCACTCAAGGCCACAGGGTTGCTGCCATAGCAGGACTTGGTCCCTGGCCTTGGAGCATCCTCCCACACCCCGTGTCCTGGGAGGTGCTGCACAGTCTACCTGAAGGACCTCGGGAACCTCAGCGCCGTGGGGCTGAATGGGCCTCCTGGCCTCTCTCCAGGCTGGGTGGGATGCTGAGTGTGCAAGTAGGGGCCCAAGGAATGCATAGCTACAGGCTGTGGGGCTTGTGTTCTGCATTTACAGCTTCACCTCAGACGGATTCAGCTGGGGCGGGACGCAGACCCTACCCGAGGTGCGGAGGCCAGCACACCTGCGTCCCTCACTCCTGCTGAAGTGTGTGCGGGCGCTTCCAGCCCCGGGCAGAGAGGGTCCCTTTCACCTGCTCCCAGCCCAGCTTGCTCACCTGGAGTCACAGCGCAGAGCTCATTGCTTTGTGGGTGCTTGTGTCTGGCCTTGGTACTGACGGCCTTGGTACAGTCTTTTTTCTGAGCTTTAGGTTCCTCTTCTATAAGATGTGTGTCCTTAAGCATCTTTCCAGGCGGGGCATCGTGACATTACTGCCATACAAGCAGCAATTTAATGTAATCAGTAAAACAAGTAAAGGATTCATATTGAAATCTCTAGGGCCATGAGTAAAACATTTGGGTTATTTTAAATAATTTATTGAGCCCAGCCGGGTGTGACTCAGCAGTTGAGCATCGACCTAGGATCGAGGAGATCGGGGTTCGATTCCCGGTCAGGGCACATGCCCGGGTTGCAGGCTAGGCAGCCGACCAATGACTCTCTCATCTTTGATGTTTCTCTCTCTCTCTCCCCCTCCTTTCCTCTCTCTGAAATCAATAAAGATATGTTTTAAAAATAATAATTTATTGAAGAAGTATATTTTTAATTTAAATAAATTTTAAAAAATAAATGTACATTTAAATAAATACTAATTTTAAAAATTAAAAATAATCAGATGTGTAAAAATTTGTATCTGGCACCAGCAGGCTGTAGGTAACGGGTCTCAGCCTGCACAGAAGTAAACAACCCAAGGGCCAAACCGCAGAGGCCATCTTTGACTCGGCTTTGTGACATGCCCCTGGCCCTAGGCTGCTTAATAATCTGCTTTGTATTTTATTTTCTAATGCCTGCATTTGGAGCCGCTGATAAAGCATTGTCTGGATCCAGATCCTATGAGGGCACAAACCAAGGCTTCCAAGTCTGTTTGCAGCCAGTCTGCCCACGTTGCTGGGAGAGCCAGGAAAATAGGTCTGAGGAGAAGGTTCGGATGTTTCTGGTTAGTCAGCAGCTTAGGAACTCCCTGGAGAGCATGGCTTCTCCGCTCTTGTCCCACACATACTGTGCTGAAGGAGACAGCTGTCACCATCCTTCCGCGGTGGGCAGATTTTCCTTCAGTTTACCTACAAGGACTCTTACTTTTCTGAGGGTCTTGGATCTTACAGGCCACTGACCTCACCTTCAATTTAGCAGAGGCCCTGTCTCCCCTCACGTAGTCCTTTAAAATTCTACAAATAAGGTAAACACATTTGTTGACTTCTCTGGATTTTTTTTTTCCATTCCCCAGCTCAAAGGTTTCTCTTCTAGTCCAGCCACCTATGCCATGGGTTTCAAAGTTTTGTTTTGCAAATTTGAACAACGTTTAGGTGCTCTGTTGTAGAAAATTCTCTCTGTACATTTCAACTGCTTATTCCTGAAAAAATAACCTAGCAGTAATTCAATTTTATCTCTAAGTTATTCGGAAATCACAGGTCCTGTGGGGCCCTATGTATTCCTGTGCCCTCCCACAAATGGCATTCTTGGTGCTCACCACACGCACCCCACACATTTTCCCTACTCCTCCAGCGCCTCTTCCACCTCGTCTCCGCTGCCCCCATTGCCTTTATCTACAAGAGATAATAGATTCTGACAAGGAAAATGGCTCAACCGGCTCCCCTCAGTCACTAAAAAATAACAAAAGTAGCCATATTTTTAAAAATGTTTTTATTGATTTTATTTTATTTTTTTAATTTGGTAACATGTTACCAATTGTTGAATTTAGTGGGGGTATGTGTTTTTGTTTTGTTTTTAAATGTATCTTTATTGATTTCAGAGACAGGAAAAGAGAAGAGAGGGAAACATCCATGATGAGAGAGTCACTGATCGGCTGCCTCCTGCCCGCCCCCCGACTGGGGATCGAGCCCGCAACCCCGGCATGTGCCCTGACCGGGAATCAAACTCCAATCACCTGGATCCTGGGTCAACGCACAACCGCTGAGGCACACCTGGCCGGGCTGTTTTTATTGATTTTAGAGAGAGGATGGGAGAGGGAGAGCGAGAAACACCGATGTGAGAGAGAAACCGCTATCGGTTGCCTCCTCTACACACCCTGGCCGGGGATCGAGCCCCCAACCTGGGCAGGTGCCCTGACAGGGAGTCGAACTGGTGACCCTTCAGTACATGGGATGACGCTCAACCAGCTGAGCCACACCGGCCAGGGCTCTACAGAAAACTTACACACAAAAAAAGCAGTCAAAGGTTTTATTTTTATTTTTTATTTAAAATATTACAAATGTCCCTTTTTCTCCCCAATCTATGACTACTTTTTAAATCAGTTTTCTAAATGGCAATGAAAAAGGTCTCTTAAAAACATAGATGTAAAAAAGATAGGTCTTTTTTCTCCTTTGCTAAATCATCATCAGCATCACCACCTTACCATTGCACTCAATGTGTATTAAGTATCTGGTTATATCCTGCAAGGCTCGGCATGAAGCGGCACCCTGACTTTCCGCCCTTGTCTTAATATAGACTCATCCCTGACTCCTGGACGTAGGCTCTTGGGTTCGGATCTGAATCAGACGTGACTGTCTCGGGCCCTCCCAGGTGCTGTTTCTAAGGCATCTCGGCACCTGTCACCTTCTCCGCCCAGCCTTGTCCTCCGTAGGCGCTTCCTTGGGCCCCCAGTTCCTTTATCTTCCTGGTGGCGGCTTCAAGTGTATTCCTAGAGGGGGTGGTAGGAACTTAAACAGCTTAGACACCCCCACTGCTCTTTGGAGAAATCTCCCACTGAGATGACATTTCCGTTAGAGTGCTCTCAACCCCTCAGGTCATCTTT